CTGTCCAGTCCCCATTGATCTTCAGTTGCCACGTATGTTTATGGAGATATACAAAGTGAATAGTGGATGAAAAATTGATCAGAACACTCTTGGAGAAAAACACAACTTTGAGTCGTGTGTTATGTTCGGTTGTTTAGAGAGGTTGCTAGGCAACATAGCGTAATGNGGGTTTTTTAGCCGTTTTGGTCATAAACAGGGTATAGATTTTGGCCATTTTGGTCATAAATAGGGTAGGGTTTTGCACTCTAGCCTTGAATTGGGTATGCTGTTTAGAATAAGCTACTCTTTCATCATCATCGATAAGACCATCAACAAAATCTTTTCATAAACTATGTTTAGGGCGCAGCTAGTTTATGCGCAGTTAGTTTACCAGGTTTCTTGTAGACTGAGCCCATTTCTTTAATCTTTAGGAACACCAATTTTGTTTGGGGCCACACGAGCGCGTCGCTCCCGCCCTCCACTGGTTTGAATAGGGCTTAAAAACAACCAACCAACCAAATAAACAAACAAACAAACCAACAAACCAAACGTTCTAAACACTTCATGTGCAAGTACGGCAATTAGTGTCTGCAGGTTTTTTGAAATGCATCAAGCCTGGGATCCTAGGACTGAACTAGCTCTGTTAATCGTTAACGGCGTAGGCCTATGTTTCTTTGTAGATCAGTATAATTATATGAGTACTTTAAAATGAGCTCCGCCGGCTTACTGGAAGATCCTCGATCGCCACCACTCCGACAATTAGCAATGGAATTAGCCACATAGTGAAGTCTCCCATATTGCACCTTAAGATCTGCAAGTGAAATGAATATCCAAGAGTTAAGATGTCAGCATAGAAGGGTAGGTGGAGTATGTACGTGCTCACTTTATCTTAAGTGTTTTCAATGGTCTTAAAATTAGTAAGGGCATTTAGTAATTTTCTCCTAAACACGGGTTGGGTAACTGATCACGGACTTGACAATATGACGCCTGCCCACATAAGAATGATGAATGCATAAGAACTTTAAAAGCTCAAAAGAGACCGACATTGAGTATACGTTAATTATTACAGAGAAGGTATCAAATTGCATGCATAATCAAAACTATAACAAAATTCTCGAACGTGATTGGCTATCAGTAGCTCGATTTGAGCATTAATTGGACAGTGTACGCGTGATGCTTGTAATTGGACAGTACGCGTCATTTTGCGCGCGTTGTTGCGGTGCACTCTGTTGCGTAAACTGCTGTGTTTTTCAGCATTCATAACGACGTTTAACCGTTCAGCGCTCAATCGATGGTTTGTTCGCTTCTCGAATTTTGTCATAGTTTTGATTAATTGGTAACAGGGCTTCGCGTCGTCCAACTCAGTCTGTAATCATACTCGTGATTAACAAATCGGACTCCCGCTTCGCGGTCGTACTGGTATGATTACAGATCGACCGAATTGGACTCCACTCAGTCCAATTACCATTATTTATTAGTAAGGCTGGAATGAGCCTTTACATTTGAGATTTCGTGTACAAATGTATATACCCCTGTTAAAGCTCTTCATTTATACGGTTTCTGCTATTTCATTAGTCGCCGAATTTCGCGTCGCAATAAAACTAATCATCGAGGCCTTCGTTTGTGTGATCCGCCTCAACCTTCTGCCTCGGTAGACAGATAACGCAAACCGCGGGATGGTCCCCGCGGGATAGTTTCCGCTTTTATACATGATATTATGATGCATAATGATATATATATATATATATATATTTTATGTGAAGTATATATGAAACAATTCATATTTGAACTGCGGTTGTAGATGATCATTCTTCAGTCGCCCGACTGAATTTGCAATGCAAAATGAGATTTCGTTTCTTGAAATTTAAAATAATGTCTTAAAAAGCGACGGTTGCTTATTATTTAGCCCTTAAAAATTCCTGAAATTTCGGTTGAAAATTAAATGACACAGTCCTTTTTACAAACTAACATCTGTTCGGAAGTTTTAGACTACCTCTAGAGGTAGTCAGTCCTCTCTTTTTTTCCATTCGGAACCGAGCGGCGGAAATTTCTTTATCATTTGCTAATTTTTTCCAGTTTCCAGGGTTATCAGCCGAAAACAATTACGGGAAGTCGAATTGTAAATAGTAAGCGCCAGGTTTGCGGATTTTGGAAAAACTCTTACCATTATTCAACGGTCGTCCTAACCAATTTATTCTAACAAATGATAAGCAACCGATTACTCCATACTTGTCTTACACATTTGTTAAGGGTTTTTTAATTGTTCTGTTCAAGAAAACGCCGAAACAGTTAATAGATTCCCTTTGTCCGTAAAGCTGCCAAGCTTAACCGTAGTGTCTTGTTGCTTTTCTTTGTCTACCCAGGCCCTCTTCTTGGAAGCACCCCGTCCATTTGTAGGATGTTTACACTTGTGGGATGTTTACACTTGCTGGATTTAGTGTCGCCGCGGGAGAACCAACATTTGATTGTGTGCAGCTAACTGGCGATGTGCGAATTCATTTTTTGACATAAAATTACCTCATTGTACATTTCTAAGAAACTAAACCTACTCTAGAGTACATTTACTTTTCTTTTCATGATTGTTATAGACCCAAAATAATCTGCATGTATATCATATTCCGTTTGGGCCAGTCACCGATGGGTCCCTTTGCGATTTTACGCGAACAGCGCAAAAGCGTAAATGATTGCTTCGATTTCAATAACAGAGGATAAAGAAGAATTAATACGACGTGATCCTAGGAGTAGGTCAATCAATAGGTATTGGGTGGTTTTCATTCTGTTTTGTTGTAAGTTATTGTTTTGTTATATGCATTATGTCATGCAAATTGCCTAATGACCACTTTAGCTCTAACCAATTTTTCCAAAGCCGTTTTGCTCAAAATTTAATTCGTATCACGTAAAAAAGACAAACTGATTATTAAGCGGACTTCCTGAATAATTATTAAGCGGACACCAAGGTTTGTCCCCAAGTTAGGCTTATATATGTTTAAATTCGATATTTCAAGGCTTACTAATCATGAACAAGCTAGCTCTGTAGAACTGATGAAAATGTTCAGTTTTCATTTCATGATTGTTATAAGCACACAATGATCACAATTCTCCATCAATTCTCTCAGGGGTAGTTGAATGACTGGCATTCATAACCCCACGTAACTTCGGTTGGTGCTTTAAAACTCCATCATTTGCAACCTATGTGCTTATTTAACAGTCTAGTTCGTCTTAAACAGATTAGCTCTAGTGAGTGTCAATTCATTCAAAAAACCGCCCATAATTAATTCAGTTTTCGAACCTGTCTTGCGTATGATTAAAGTCATACCACATAAAAAAGCAGGCTGGAATAAAATAAAGGAGTAAGAAACAACAAAAACAACAACAACAACAACAACAACTAGTTTAAACTGTAATAAGACAAACTCTAACATCAAAACAAGACAGGGAATACGTGATGGCGTAGACAGAGCATTAAATTACCATTTTTGAGAAGGAATCTGTTCCCAAACATTGTTTTTGTCATTTCAAGTTAATTAAAAGAACTCATTGTTCCACCAGTTCATAGTTCGTTGACTGGCACTGACAAGAGGGGATGTGGTTAGGGTACCTATTTTTACACTCTGTTATAAACCCCAAATGACACTTTACATCAACTCCCATGTGTTCAGTGGACACCTCAATTAACCAGACGCGGAAAAGCTCCTATTGTTAAAAACCTAGCCTCGACTTAAATGGTCTCTAGAATTAATTTAGAATGCAACATCAGGCTACGTTCTTGAAAAGAGTCGCTTGAAAAGTGAAAACTCCATAGTTACCCTTCAGCAAGTTTACTGTGCGTGTAGCATTTTTTTGTTTTTGTTCTTTTCTTCTTCTTCTTCTTCTTCTTTTTTTGCGCTAGCAGCACAAATATCAGGACTACAAGAAGATTAGCTTGGATTTCAATAAGACGAGATCAAGAAACGAGAAAAACATAATAAAAATATGCATCGGTTTCATCATTTGATTACTGAGTTGGTTTTTTCGCTGCAATTTTCGGGATACAGAACCTGCCTTGCTCATGTAATCGTCGAGATGACAAAGCTTCTTTTGAGCCGAATATCATTTCAAGAAAAATGGCTCTCAGACAACACTTTACAAGAGAAAGTCGTTATGTCTAGTCAGGTATTTGCAGATATATGGTGTGGTGAGGTTTTGGCCAATAAAAACTCACCGCGAAGGATTTATTGAAAGTTAAAGTGACCGTTGTTTGATTCTGTGTTGTGTGGCATTCAGTAATCGAATCCTACCCTATGCAAAAACGTTTACAAAGGACTCACACGATCCGGTCACATGGTACAAATTCAGCCATGCTGGAACGCATGTTACACAGTGGGACATCAAAAACAAAGAAACTCGTACCAGTCCAGCCTGACGTTCCTTTGTTTTGCAAGTCCTACGACATGACTAGCATCCTAGCATGGCTGATTTTGAGCTGGAAACCAGAGTGGGGAATAAGTGACCTTGAAACCAAGCGACCTGGAAACCAGAGTGGGGAATACGTGACCTCAAAACCAGAGTGGCGACTGGGGAAGAGGAAACAAGCGTGTAAAATAGTAGCTCAATAGTAGCTCCTAAAAGAAGACACACTTAATCAAAAATTAATAGGTTTTTACATTAAGGTTAACACGAGGTGAAAATTCCAACATGGTACCAAAGCTATCTGTCGAACTTCTATGTCTATGTTCTTTTCTTTAGAGCAAGTATTTTATGGGAATTTCAGACAAAGTAGCCTGGTAAAGTTGTCCAATTTAGACCTCGGAGTCACCAAGAATTTTGATATAGCAAACGTTACTAACTGTTTCATTTGTGGCTCCCTCTTTCAAAACACACTGTCAAACTTTACTTTGAGTGAGAACCTGATCGACTGATTCACCCAGTATAGTTCAGCACAGAATGTGACATACACCACTTCTTAGCCATTGCTTGAAACTGAATCCGCAATTTTCAACGATAAAAGACTAACGGTAACGTAAGAAAAACAAAAAACCAAAGCCAGTGATATTGATATTTATTTTCCCTAAATTGATCTAAGATACCCAGTGGTTGAGCTTGAGCGGTTTTTTAAAAGCTAAGTCTTCGGATGACCTTTTACATGTACACTGTTTTATCAGTCTCATTTACTGTCCAGTCCCCATTGATCTTCCCACGTATGTTTAAGGAGATATACAAAGTGAATAGTGGATGAAAAATTTGATCAGAACACTCTTGGAGAAAAACACAACTTTGAGTCGTGTGTTATGTTCGGTTGTTTAGAGAAGTTGCTAGGCAACATAGCGTAATGTTGTCATGTGACACCGTCCGAGTGCTCACAAGCCTTTGCTTGTTTGGTTACATATGATCCGAAACTTACAACAAGCACTTCTGAGGAAATGACCATCGATTTTGCGACAGCTAAGTGCTCTTTCACTCCCGGTATGCTTGCTAAACCTCTGTGGTTACGTTACTGCGTTACAAATATTTTGGCGAGACCAGTTAGAGACCTAAAATGACATGACTGTCGTGGACCCTACATCTTGATGCAAACTGTTTTGACTTCTGTGTAGAACTCGTACGACTCCTTGGCCCCTTCTCGGCCGATCCCTGAAGCCTTGAATCCTCCGAACGGCATATTCAGGTCACGGACCAACCAGCAGTTACACCACACTGTCCCGGCCTGAAACAACAGTAGAAAACATCTTTTGATGCTTTAATTTACGATTGGTCACGCAGCACCACTTTATTGGCGATGAAACTGACATTGCGTGACGAATCACTTATTATAAACACAAAAGACAGCTCAGTAAACGATGAACCATTATATTTTTGATTGGGGGAGGGGATGAGGAGGTTTAATAGTAATTTTATTAATATTCTTCATTTGGCGGACATCGCTTTCTTTGCCGCAGCGATTGTTGCGTAAAATTTTTTGGGACGGCCGCACTGCACTAATCTTTGATTACTAGTTTGTAATTTGTTTAAAAAAACACCATACCTTAATGACAAGTCACTAAAGAATAACGAAACACAAAGATAAAAAACTCAAACGAACGGATCATTAAAATAAGGGCACTGATTCACGTCTGGACATAGATTCAGATTCTCTCCAAAACCACCATTACATGTTCGACGGTATTCTGTCTGATGGGCGGTTTGCTGAGCGCTATTCTTATAGCGACTTTTTTTTACACAACCAGGTTGTTTCCGATACCGAAAACCCATGCCTGCCTTTTGGCTAGCGCTTATGATCTTTGTTCACGTCAGTTTCAGGTTTCTGTATTCCTTTAGCTGTTTTAAGGCTTCACTTTCGTTTTTCCTCTTTACTTTTTGCCACTAATGTTTAGAGAGAGTGTCAGTGCTGCGACTGATTATCTACTGCGCGTTGATCTACACTTAGGAACCAAATTGACAATTCCTTGCCAAGGAACTCAGTACTATAGACTACACTGCGAAATTAAGTCACCCAGAATTCACAAGTTCTTATACCTGTAAGCGTTTTGACACTCGGTGGGTTCGTGAAAGATTTTCTGACCACACTACAGCAGCTAATCCATACTGGACACCGTTAGCTCGCTTAATAACCTGACATTCAAGGAGAAAATACATTAGAGAAAGAGGATCTTATACAAGGCCTAGATAATTAGCTACACACAATCAAGAGAGGATGAAGAATTAGAGAAAATAATTCTACATATACGCCTTATTTGTAAGGCAATCCCTCAAGGCGCAGAATGGCTTTTGTTTTNATATGACTGTCGTGGACCCTACATCTTGATGCAAACTGTTTTGACTTCTGTGTAGAACTCGTACGACTCCTTGGCCCCTTCTCGGCCGATCCCTGAAGCCTTGAATCCTCCGAACGGCATGTTCAGGTCACGGACCAACCAGCAGTTACACCACACTGTCCCGGCCTGAAACAACAGTAAAAATAGCATCTTTTGGTGCTCTCATTTATGACTGGTCACGCAGCACCCCTTTCTTGGCGATGAAACCGGCATTGCGTGACGAATCACTTATTATAAACACAAAAGACAGCTCAGTAGAGGATGAGCCATTATATTTTTGATTGGGGGAGGGGATGAGGAGGTTTAAAAATAATTCAATACTCTTCATTTGGGGGACATCGCTTTCTTTACCGCAGCGATTACTGCGTAAAATCCTAATCCAGTCTGTATCGAAATTTTTTCGGACGACCGCACTGTTCAGTCTAATCTTTGATTATTACCACTTCGTATTTTCTAAAAAAAAAGGGAGGAAGAAGAAAAGAAACACCAAATCCTTAAAGACAAGTCACTAAAGAATAAGGAAACATTAGATAACAAATTCAAACGATCGCATCAATAAAATAAGGGCACTGGTCAAGTCTGGACATAGATTCAGATTCTCTCCAAAACAACCATTACATGTACGGCACCGCAGTATTCTGTATGGGCAATTTACTGGGCGTTTATTCTTATAACAACATTTTTTCGCACAACCGGCAGGTTGTTCCCGATCCCGAAATCCCATGTGTGCCTTTTGCCTTGGGCTTATGATCCCCGTTCACCCAGGTTTCAGTTTCCTGTATTCCTTTAGCTGTCACGTAGTTTCAAGGCTCCACTTTCGTTTGTCCCATTTACTTGTTGCTACTAATGTTTACAGAGAGTGTCAGTGCTGCGACTGATTATCTACTACGTAGTGATCTAAACTTAGGAACCAACTTGACAACTGCTTGTCGACGAACGCAGTACTATGGACTACATTGCCAAATTAAGTCATCCAAAATTCACCCATTCTTATACCTGTAAGCGTTTTGACACTCGGTGGGTTCGTGAAAGATTTTCTGACCAAACTACAGCAGCTAATCCATACTGGACACCGTTAGCTCGCTTAATAACCTGACATTCAAGGAGAAAAGACATTAGAGAAAAAGGATCTTATACAAGGCCTAGCTAATTAGCTACACACAATCAAGAGAGGATGAAGAATTAGAGAAATAATTCTACATATACGCCTTATTTGTAAGGCAATCCCTCAAGGCGCAGAATGGCTTTTGTTTTCAGGACATATACTTACTTACTGGCATAAATTAATTTTGTCACAATAGCGCTCCCATGTGGATTCTCAATGAACCCTAATTGGTTGCGGTTTACCCTTACAAATGCAAATTTAACCATAATTCCTGCAGTTGCGAATACCCGTGGGACTGAACCGTCCATCAACTGCACAAGCAGACGTCGTAGTACCCAGTTCTTCCGCGGATAGCTACCACGCACGGAAGTTTTCCTGGGGAATTCAAATTCGTGTAAAGCCGCTTGGGCTGTCCACGTGAGCAAAATCCGTATCACAGATTGGCTAATTCTGGACTCTCCTGGTACTTGCAGGATACCATTTAAAATATTTGTACAATTTCTACATATTTATTTAATATTTTATTTTCACATTCATAAATCTTTTATGTTGTGTCCCCGATTAGCAGCAATGCTAAATACTCCCCCCCCCCCCCCCCCCCCCCCCC